GGGCAGTGGGGAAATCGTGCAGTGACCCGGTCCCTGTGGCAGCTTGGTGGAAAATCGGTGGAGACTGGAGCAGGAGAAAGCTGGTGAGTTGTAGCTACTCGAGGAGCTGGCTGCAAATACTCTGGCCCCTTCAGGAAGCCCCGTGTGCTCAAGAGCCCCCCGCCCTGCCTTCTAGCCATGGATTCGTTAGGGCGGGGAGATGGTGTCCATGTGATGCCTGCTTCCACAGGTCATTTTCATGTTGTTTCTGGAAGCTGTGACCTCCTCTCTGTTATCAAGGATGGCCCCTGGAGGAGTGTGAAGGGCACCCCTGCTTTCGTTTTCCTACCTGCTGGCCTTCCCTTCCCAGGCCCCTCTTGCTGTCTCACAGAGACGCAGCCTCAGCCACTAGAGGCTGTAGTGACAGTGACAAGCAAGGTCTGCTGGAGAGTCAAAGACCAGAAAGTTGCTTTAGCTGGGCACCGGGGAGAAGGGGAAGGGGACATGATTAACCATTCTGAACCTCAGTTTTCTGATGTCAAAGGAAAGCATGGCATAGTCTGGTTCCCTGAGAAAAAGACTCAAGAGAATGAGATCTGTGTGTATGTGTGTGTGGGGGGGGGGGAGGGATTCTTGGGAAGCGGTCTTACTCTGGAGTAGGGAGAGGGAAGTTGATCTGTGATGGAATCCATTGACCCCTGGGGCAGGGGCCAGGCCTGTGCAGGCCCATGATGAGCAGCCAGGGGGTGCAGGCTATCCCCAGAGCGGGGCGTACCCTCGGGTGCCCCTTGCGCAGGACAGTGTCTGAAGGCAGACTCAGCTGCAGGCTGTGAGACAGCATTGCTGGCAGCTGGGGGTTAAGCACGTGGCTGCAGGTGGGGCTGAGCTGTCCCAGGCAGCAGTTGGAAGGATGGGCTGGGAAGCAATGAGATAAGTGATGAAGTGCTTTGCCCTGTGCCCGGCGCAGAGCAGGCACTTCTTAGAGTGTTCATTTTTCTTACCAACGTCCGTGACTGCGTCTGAAAATGGATTTTGGCGTTGAGTTGACTACATTAGCTTCTGTAAAGAAAGAACCTTTAGTTATACCAGCCACAGTGACTGCTGCTGCCTGTTATTGAGTGCCTGTTCTCTCTGTCCATTCTCTCCAGTGATCCGGTAATCCTCCAAGTTAGGTGCTTTTATTCTCATTGTACAGGCAGCCCAGTTTTCCAAAACCCTAAAGGGCAGGAGTCCTTTGGCAATAAGTCAGTATCAGTAGCAACAAATACCAGAACGCTATGATTTGTTGTGCTTCTTGAAGTGACTTCATTGGTGGATTTATTAACTCATTCATTTTTATCCAATTATCTATTGAATCAACGAGTATTGAGTGCCCATTGGGTGCTATCCTAGGTGCTGAAAATACTATACAGTCCCCGAGGGGAGACAGACATGAAATGCTTTGCTTCTTCAAAAGCAAACCATGGAGGATGCAGCATTGCATTGAGCAGCCAGGATGAGATAGTGATAGGAGCTCTTCCCAGCTGAGCCCTCTCATCCCCCATTTCAATCTAACCTCCTCAGAAAGGCCTTTTGGACCATCCTGTGTAAAGCAGGTCTGCTCCCTTTTACTCTCCTTTCATGGCACTGGTCCATCCATTTGTTGGTCCTCCCCGCTAGTCTGAAGGCTCCAGGCATTCAGAACACTGCTTTATCCTGAGAGCCCAGCACAGTGCTTAGCACAGGTTGATTGAATGATCGGAATGGATGGAGGGTGACTCTGCTTAACAGAGTGGCTGGGGAAGGTCAGTCTGAGGAGTGATGTTTACAGAGATTGCAAGGACAAGATTGATGCAGCGATATCAAGACCAAGGGGCAGAGAGAACAGCTTGCTCAAGGACCATGAGGTGGAGGACTAGAGCTCAGCGTGACTGGGGAGCAGCCTGAGAGGAGTTTGGAGAAGTAGATGGGGCCTTGGAAGGCCATGCTGAGCTTGGATTTTCCTCAAACTGCAGTGAAAAATCTTTCGAGTATTTTAAGCCTAATGACCTGGTGTTATAGCATTTGTTGTCGTTCGTGCTTCTAGGAGACAAGCTCTGTAGGGGAGAGGTGAATGGATGAGCTGGTTTATATTTACATTTATGAGGCAGATAGTGGAGTAGAGAGAAGAATGGGATCTTGTCACAGATTTGCAGTTAGGTGAGAGATGTTGGGGTCCTGGCTGCACCATAGCAATGATATTGGAGAAAAGTAGGATTGGAGCTATAGTTTGGATGTCAAATGTATAGGACATGATACATTAGTCTTGGTGAATAGAGTAAAGGGAAGGATCGAGGATTGTCCTTAAACCATTTTGGTTTAAGATTGCCAAATATCCATCAACAAATGAATGGATAAGCAGAATGTAGTACAAATTCACAATGGAATGTTAGCCATAAAAAGGAATAAAGTAGCCGAAACCGGTTTGGCTCAATGGATAGAGCGTCGGCTTGGGGACTGAAAGGTCCCGAGTTCTATTCCGGTCAAGGGCATGTACCTTGGTTGCGGGCATATCCCCAGTGGGGATGTGCAAGAGGCATCTCTCATCGACGTTTCTAACTATCTGTCTCTCTTCCTTTCTGTACAAAATCAATAAAATATATTAAAAAAAAAAAAAAGGAATAAAGTGCTAATACATGCTACAACTGAACCTTCAAAATATTTTGAATGGAAGAAGCCAGTCACAAAAGGTCACATAGTGTTTGATTCCCTTTATAGGAAACTAGAGACCCAGTACATGAAATTTGTGTACAAGTAGGGTCCCTAGGCCTGGCCAGTGACCTGGGCCCATTGGGGCTTTCTGGCTGCTGGCCGGGGCCTTCCTTGCCACCCCCCTGGTGGTCAGAACATGTCATAGCGAGTAGTCAAACTCTTGTGGGGACAATTTGCACACTAGCCTTTTATTATATATCCCTAGAAGCCTGGTGTACAGATTCGTGCGTTGGTGGGCTCCCTTGCCTTGGCCTGCGCAGTCTTGTAAGCCGGGACCCTTCAGAGGATGTTGGATAGCTAGGTTTGGCCTGATACCCACAGGCCTAATCCAGACAGGGGGGAGCCCCATCCTGTGTGTTGAGTATCTGTCCCCTGGTGGTCAGTGCATGTCATAGTGGCCAGTTAATCTGTCAGTCGGTAGTTTGGTCGTTTGGTTGCTTAGACTTTTATATATATACTAGAGGCCCGATGCATGAAATTTGTGCAAGGGGCTCAGACCTTGCAGCCCCAGCTTCGTCTGGAAGGTTGTTCAGCTATCTGGCCTAATTAGCATATTACACTTTTATTATTATAGATAGAATATGTAAATCCATAGAGACAGAAAATGGATTGGTGGCTCATGGCTTGCCTCGGGCTTGGGAAAGGAGGATAAATGGTGCATAACTGCTTAAAGGGTAAGTGGGTTCCCCTTACCCTTGTGGGTGTGATGAAAATGTTTAGAATCAGATGTGGTATTGCACATATTATGAAGTATTAACTTTAAAATGGTTCCTTTTAATATATATATATATATATATATATATATATATATATGAAAGTCACCTCAATTATTAAAAAAAACAACGATTGGGTGGAAGGGAGCACCAATCACAGAGTGGAGGAGACTGGGTTAGGAGCAAGTTGGAGTGAGGGGAGAAAACTCAAATGCTTTCTTGGAGATGCTCACGATCTCCACATGGAACCTGAGGTGGGCAGAGTCTGGGCTGGAGAGATAAACGTGGGACTTGCCCGCAATCAGAAGTCAGCCAACAGAATGCATGAGACCCAGGGAGAGAAAATGTAGAGGAGCACATTCAAGCCTGGGCCACTCTTTCATGTAGCACATGAGGAAGATGCTGTTGTCCTCATTTTCAGACGACCCCAAAATGAACTTGCCCATGGTCCGTCATTTATTCATATGGGTCCCTGGCCTGCAGGCCTTCACCTTTCCTATCTTAACACGATGCCATTTCGAACTTCAGCAAAGACCTTTCCTCCCTCACTGCCTCCTTCCCCCTTCTTCTTCCTTCTTCCATCCTCTCTCCCTTCCCACCTGCCCTTCCCCCCCCCCCCATCCATCTCTCCCTTTCCACCTGACTCCTATGGTCCTGATTGAGTCCTCATATGTGGCAGGCACTGTTCTGGGCAGATGCTAGTGGAGAAGATGGAAATGGCCCTAACCTTGCGGGGTGTATCAGGTAAATAAGCAGCTGCAGCCAACAGATCCAGGGACCTCAGGAGCCTGAAACAGGGGCACCTGTCCTGGGTTTGGGGGTGAGTGGATGCTTCCTAGAGAAAGTGGCAGCTAAGCTGAGATTTGCAGCAGAAAACGAGAGAGAGAATGATTCTCCAAAGGGTTTCATGATCTCTGACTCCCTCCTGTGGGAATTCATTCTTTTCACTCCCTCAGTTCTTCACAGGCCACTGGCATTTTACAACTCATCGGAAGGGTCTATCTTTTCTGTAACCCTGGAGGCAATAGGTAGAACAATGGCTGGGTTTGATTTCATGGTGGAGCTTCAAATGGGGTAGCCGGGTAGGATGCAGACAGCCCACCTTCCAGAACCACGAGCCAGGGACTTCTCTCTGAGCCTTACTTTTCATAGCTGTGAAATGGAGCCAATAGCCATCTGCTGCTCAGGGAAGGAAACAAATGAGATGATCCTGTAAAGTACTGAGCTGGAGCGCCTCATACGTGCTCAGAAAAATGCCCCCTCATTTACCTTTTGCAGAGAAAGAGTTTCCTAGACCCGTGGTCCCCCACACTCTGCACACTATTTAAAACACAGGGTTCCTGCTTCCCCAGAAGAATTGGAGTGATCTGTATGTTTAGAAAGCACCTCAGGTGATTCTGATAAAAGCTAGGTCCAGGAATCTTCCTTCAAACCAAACACTCAAGCGTGAAAGGGTTAAGCACCTAGAAGGAGACTGGGGGCTCTAGGAATATTGGCCAATGATGGAGCCGGCTGATGATGTAATGTCTCTGGCTGGCACTCCATTGGTTAAGTGTATTGTTTCTCCGGCTTCAGCTGTGTGAGGAGCGGAGCTGGAGTGCACGGGTTAATAATTCCAATAATTCCGTGGCAGCAGCTAGAGCTATTTTCCCCATTCCTCGCCCGCGAGGTGTGAGTGTATATAACGGCAGCAGATTTGTTGCCTGCCTCCTTCCAATACACAGCTGCACTTTCCTCATCGCCTCCCCCTCAGCAGAGCACGTGTCTCCATAGTACTACGGAGGAGGACCCGGAGGGGGTGAGGGGAGGAGGGAGCGGGAGGAGAAGGATCGCTCAGGGAAGAGAGAGCCCTCGCAAAGTTGGGCACTGCGGTCTCTCCTTTCCTCTGGGGACAGGCAGGGCCCAGCTGCTGTGGCCTGACAGAGGTCCTCCTGGATGAGTTGCCAAACTGTCACCTGCTTCTGAGCGCGCTGTTTAACCTGGCGGGACCCTCAGACTTGGAGGTGAGCTCAGGGTTTTGGAAGAGGGAGAGGGCCTGCAGAGGGGAGCCTGGGGGCAGGTGGAAGGAAATAGCTCCAGAAGGAAGGTCAGGCGCTGGCTGTGTGCCCTGGCTGCCCAGGCATGCGGTGGGAGCTTGGGCACTGTGGTCTCCCTCTCTGGGCCTGTTTGCTCCAGGGCACCAGGTGAGGCTTGGGCTAGGGCACTCTGAGCTCTGGGGGATGCCTGCGGTGTGTGTGTGTGTGTGTGTGTGTGTGCATGCTCTTGTCGCTCTCTGGCAAATGCTCCCTGACTGGTGGGCTTTGCTGGAACAGGAAGGCGTGCCACCCAGGCCCCTCCTCACATTGTCTGGGCTCCCCCTTCAGTGCTCCCGGAGCAGCAAAGCTGCCCTTGGTAGACTCTGGCCTGAGCTTCCTGCAAAACTACCTGGGTGGTCTCAGGGGCTTTGATCAGGTCGTTGCAAGGGCCTGACCCTGGAGTAATTGTTGCTCCCGGTGCAAGCCTGTCTGCCTCAGGGTGTAAACGGAAGGAGCAGAAGTGGGGAGTGGCAAAGGGAGCCCAGTACCTGGGAGAGGCTGCTTGCCAGCAAGAACCTCTGACCTTTATGTCACAGGTAACTCGGAGACAAGCGATGATGCCTCTTCTCTCTTGCAACCCTCCAAAAGACATGAATGAAAAGTTCTGTTGAATTTCATTTTTCAGAATTGTGTCATAAGGAGGGAGTTCCCCATTTCCTCGGGGACAGGTTCTCTCTGTGGCTTGTGTGACCGCCCTGTGTTCTGGGTCGGGCTTTGCCACTGGAGAGCACGTGGGTCGTTGGGCAAGTCACCGTGCCTCTTCAGGCCTCCTTTGTCAGTCACCGAGGTGGAAGGGAGTTGGACCCGCTGGGTTTTAGAGTCTGTTTGGGGCTGCAAAAGCCTTTGGAAACCGAGTCTGTTGATGAAGTGGGTTGGGTGGGTAAGGAATGAATCAGGGGGACATTAATTAATTAATTAATTAATTAAATTAATTTGTGTGTCCTGTGGGTGCTGGGCGCTTGTATACATTTTAGTGGACTTCACCCTCCCAGGAGTCCTGGGATTAGGTGGCGTTAACCTGACTCTACAGATGTGGGTAACAAGGCGGAACAGAGATTCGGTGACTTTCCCGTGATCGCTGCTTAGGAAATGTGGAGACTGGCATCTACACCGGTGCAGGAGCGTGGGCTGGGCTGGCAGCACAGGGCAGGATGATGGGAGGGTGGGAGCTGGAATCTCACCTCCCTGTGCTTCCTTTGTGCTCTCCTTTCGACTGAAAATCACTCACTCATTGGAAGATTGACGGGTTCAGCCAGATTATTCTGGATTATCCAGTTTACTGTCTGAGACAAAAGAAGATTAGGGAACCCTGGGTCCGAAAGGGACCTTCCAGGCCCCTTGAAGCATCACTGAGAAAAGGGAGGTCCCAGGAAGTTAGGGGACCTGTACTGTGTCACTCGGAGCTGATAGACCGCAGGGGTCAGGGACCACGATTCCTGGTCTTAGGTGTTTGAAGTTGTATTGTTGTTATGAGTTTTTTGAAAACCTTCATGTGAGAGCTCTGGGATCATTTGATTTAGTTATTCTCACCTTCAGGCCTCCTTCCCAGTGCCAAAGGGTTAGAATAAGACTCCTTGGACAGCGAGCTACTCGGCACCTGGCATTTGGCAGGCGTCTGGGACATGACAGCGGGTGGTAAGCAAGCCGACTCTGAGACCTAGGTCTCCTTGAGGGGCCTCCGGTGTAAGCTATGTTTCCTGAGGGTCAAGCTCACGGGTCAGCAGGCTTTCCCAGTGGTTGGGCCAAGGCCCCACTCGCTCTCCCCGCGTGTGCCTGGCACCTAATTCATCCCACTGTAAGCACACGTCCACATGACATGTGGTCTCTGTTCTTTGTCTTCCCAACTAAGCTGCACGTTTCCAGGGCACGGCCGACAAAACGTGGAACGTAACGCATCTGTGGCGCTGCCTCCTGGGGGAGGCGGCTGTCGCTGTCATGGATGTGCAGAGATGTCCATCCAGAAAGAAAAAACATCCAGTCGTCATCCGAAAGCACAGCGCAGCCCAGCCGGAGTGATTCAGTGGTTGAGCATTGACCTGTGAACCAGGAGGTCCAGGTTCGATTCCCGGTCAGGGCATATGCCTCATTTTAGTTGCAGGCTTCATCCCCAGGAGCATGCAGGAGGCAGCCAACCAGTGATTCTCTCTCATCACTGATGTTTCTGTATCTCTCTCCCTCTCCCTTCCTCTCTGAAATCAATTAAAAAACAATTTTTAAGCACAGTGCAGGTTCTCCACCTTTCTCTTAACCCCTATAATGTTAAGAGTCATTCTCATATCAGGCTTCAGATATTCAAATGACCATCAGAGGAAAGAGGAGTTATAATTATTCTGCAGGGTGGGAGAGCAAAGCCAGTGGTAGTAGGTAGAGTTAGAGGGGGAGCAGATAGCAGACCATTCAAGGAAGAGAGGGCAGGTGGTGGGAGCTGTCACGTGGGAAGGGTCTACCTTCCGTGCCCCTGTCATCAGACGTGCAGCACGTGGGAGCCTGTAGCATCCTGCCTAGACCTAAGGTTTCTTTTTCTTTTCTTCTTTTTTTTTTTTAATATATATATTTTATTGACTTTTTACAGAGAGGAAGGGAGAGGGATAGTTAGAAACATCGATGAGAGAGAAACATTGATCAGTTGCCTCCTGCACACCTCCTACTGGGGTTGTGCCCGCAACCAAGGTACATGCCCTTGACCGGAATCGAACCTGGGACCTTTCAGTCTGCAGGCCGATGCTCTATCCACTGAGCCAAACCGGCTAGGGCTAAGATTTCTTGATTATCTGTCAAGAAGGAGTACCTGCCAGGAGGCCTACGGCCTTGCCAAGCTGTGGCTTACTCCTTCTTGAGGTTCCAAAGCTGTAGTACAATGTGAAAATCATCCAAAGCCAAAAATACCTGTGAAAGTAGTTTAATTGACCTCGAATTGTATTATACATGATTTTTGGGTATTCCACCCTGAATAGTGATTTTTAAAAGGGAATGAGCAAAAGAAAGTCTATTTGCAGTTGTGTGGGTCTTCATACTGTGCTGTCTTTAAGGCAACTGTAGCATTTCTAACTAGCATGGATTGGGGGTAGGGGATTCTCAGGTGTCCTTGCTTGCTTGCAGGGTTTACTAGACCCGTGGTCGGCAAACTCATTAGTCAACGGAGCCAAATATCAACAGTACAACAATTGAAATTTCTTTTGAGAGCCAAATTTTTTAAACTTAAACTTCTTCTAGCGCCACTTCTTCAAAATAGACTCTCCCAGGCCATGGCATTTTGTGGAAGAGCCACACTCAAGGGCCGCATGTGGCTCGGGAGCCGCAGTTTGCTGACCATGGTACTAGACCATTCTGTTTGGATGCCTTCGCACGTGGTCACAGGGTTGTTAATGGTAAGGAGAATGAAAGGACAGGGTTATGTGGGAGCCCTGAGTGCAGGGACTGTCGCAGAGTAGATCCTCAGGACGCGCTTGCTGGAAGGTGGTCAGCATCTGCTGCAGCCGACTTGTCTGTGCCGGTCTTTGCCAAGTTTTAGAGAAGTGCCGGTCACCTGTGTCCAGGTTGGCATTTCCTATTTGAGGTCCGCAGGTCCTCTGGTCCCTCTGGCCAGGGCTCACCCTCACGCCCCCGAATATTGCTGCTAAAATCCGAAGTGGAAAAGGAATGAATGGGGTTGGAAGCTACACACACCTGAGTTTAAAAGACCAGACGATCCATATCCCTGTGTGACCTTGGGCATGCTGCTTCACCTCTCTGTGCTCGGCTTTACTCATTTATGAAAATGGGATCGGTAGAACCCACCTTGAAGGGTGGGTGGAGGATTCAATGAGGACCGTCGGAGAGAATCTGGAACGCTTAGAGTAGGTGTTCTGTGCATGCTAGTGTATTTGCTCACCTTGGAAAAGTGTTGCAGAGATGTAGAGTAGGTTTTTTTTTCTCCCCATTTGTTTATTTTTATTTTTTTCTGTCTTCTATCTCACTTCAAACTTCCTTGCCCAGGCTAGGGGCACTTCTCCATAGCGTCCTCTGTCCTACCCACCCTCAGTAACCCTTGAGTGGATCACACCAAAAATGCATTTGCTTGCAACCTTGTCCCTTCCCAGCTCATCCTCCTGCCAGTTACCTAACCCAGTACCAGAAAAAAGCAGTACTTAGAAGGGAGCTGTGGAACTGAATTCGTTTTTAAAGCACCAACAGCAAATTAAATATTCTGGCCTGGGGCTGCTCTACTTAGGGACCAAGTGGGCAGGTGATTTGAGAGGCGCTACCAAGAAGCCAAAGCATGGCTCTAAGCTCAAAGCCTTTGGAATGTCATCATTGACTGTCAAACTCAGTTCCAGTGTGGCTATATCATTTTGTGCTCATCCCTGGGGTTTACTCGTGACTCCACTTAACAGATATTTATGGGAGTTCTTACCCTGTGAAAGGCTGTGTCCTAGGAACAGGGGATGTACCCATAAGAGTACCAAGAGGCCCCCTATCCTCATGGATCTGTGTTCTGGTGGGGAAAGAGAAAGTGATCATAAACCAAGTATGTTGTGTGACGTCAGTTAGTAGAGAATGTCATGAAGAAAAATGAAATAACATAAGCATAGGAAGATGCCATTATAGAAAAGTTACCAGTTGAAAACGGTTTCTCTGAGGAGTCAGTATTTTAGCAGAAGCACGAATGAAGTTTGGGAAGGGGTTTTGGAAATATCTGTGGAAAAGAATTCCAGGCAGAGGGAACAGTGAGTGACCTTTGGGGTAGGTAGAGAGTCATAAGGAATATTTTGAAATGTGACTAGAAAGGTACCTGAAACCAGGTCTGGTGGGGACTCCTGGGCTGTGGGGAGACGTTTGGATTCTGTCCTAAGTTAGAGGTTTTGAGGAAAGAGCTTACATGCTTTGGCTTATTCTTTTAATTTGATTTTTTTTTAATTGCCACAGAGTAAAATTGACTTTGTTTTGGT